ATTAATTGTCAAGAATTTTTTACAGTACGCTCCAATAAGTATTGTAGTGAATAATCCTCCTGATATTAGTAATGTTACACAATACGATGACTTTATGGAATTAATTAATAAATTGGAAGAACTGCCCACATCGTATGGATCAAATAGAACATTACTGTGGCTTCGAGATTATGTCAAAGTAAAAATTTCCAATTTATTTCTGATATCATCAACGGAATATCTTTTTTATTACTTCAAATGGTTGAATTAATGAGACAAATCTTTTAATTTATAGTGATTATTGCAATTATGATTTGTGTCATATTACTGAAAGTAATTTATACTATTAAGTAAAAAATTAAACAACACTTATGAAATGTTGAAATATTTCATCATTCGAAGAAAAAAAAATTTCAATACATCAGTAGTGCTGAAATTGTTTTTTTTTTAAAAAAAAAAGAATTTAAATGTAATTTTAGTACTAAAATCTTTTTCGTTTTCTTCAAAGAAAATTTATGAATATAATATTAAAATTGCTTTTTTTCGTAAGGAGAAATAATGATGAATTATTGTAATATTTAAAATTAATTGCTATTATTGCATAACATTTTCTCACATCTTTTACATTTTTACATTCTTCAATGAGTATGCTTTTATTATTGTTGACGCATTTACTTAATAAATAGCAAGGGAATTAAATAACTAATAAAGGATTTAATTTGAATTAATTAAATGAAATATGTGAAAAAAAAACGGGTCTAAATAAAACGAATTATACATGCAATGAAGTGCATCATATTTTATGAAGTATATTATACAAAACCTTAACATGTAAATTAAAGAACTTCAAGTGAAAAATTTAGGATCTAATTTTCAATTCCAATTTAATTTTTCATTTTAGTATATTGAAAAGAAAAGAAGAAGACCTGGCTATCATAATATTAGCCTAAGCTATCGATATGTGCCCGAATTTCTCACTAGCAAATTTTTGGCTGATAAAAATGTTTTGCATTATCATATCGTTAACAGGCATGTTATTTGATATCTTCACTTATTATTACATAATTTTGTACTTACTAATCTGTTAATTTAAAAACAAAAATGAAAAATGTTTGAAAGAAAATTCAAAAAATTAAGTTGCTTTTTCATATTTTTAAGGAGTTCAGTTGTAGTCGACAGTTTTGCATTTATTATAATTTCATGCGGAGTAGGAGGATGGACAAAACGAGCTAATTTTGTCGGTTTGTTTCATATACTTAAAACTTTTAAGCTGAAAAAAATGAGTATGAAAAGAAAATTTAAGTTAAACTAATATATAATAGATAATATTTATATTATTTTCCAAGCAGCGAAATTTTACTGCTTAGAAATAGGGACACCAATTTTAACTGTAAATAAAAAATATCAGTTGGGTAATTTGATTATTTTTACCCTAAAATAGATCAATCAATTCATCCAAAATAAAATACATTTCGAGTAACAATCAAAGAAGAATTCGATCATCATTGAAATCAAATCATATTATTTGATTAAACTCATTAACGTAATAATAAAATTTATATCCATGGAAACTCCTGCATGCAAACTTTATTGTAATCACATTGTACGAAACTCAAACACTGTCGGTAATTTTACGTCCATTTGATTTTAACTTAATTAATATTTCAATTAAAAATATATAAATTATTCTGATATATATATATATATATATAATTTGCTTCTAAAATTGAAACATTTTAGGTCCAATTCGATCTCTTTTGGATCAATATCAGCAGTATAATGCAACTCTATTTGATTATGATGGCACTATTTTTGATCTGATATCAAATGTTAAGGTATTGTTGAATTTGATTTTAAAGTGAGACAATTTCTCAAAAATTTTCAATTTTAAACACTTATTTGTTAAATCAATTGATCACAATAATTAAAATGATATTTTAACACTTTTTTTATTAAAATTGAACTTGAAAAAGCAATTACTATTGGTAATGAGTAACTTAAAGAGTATAAATTAAAAATACTTATTACCTCAAGTCCACTTTGTTGAGAATGCACCTGACAGTTTTTTAAATTTATTTTTCAAAGTAATTCAGCTAAAAAAAAGTGGCTTTAGAAAAACAGCGATCTTTTGATCTGAAATACGACCTGCCATTGTAGCTACCAGAATTTTTTTAGAAAAAGAGTGAAAATTTAATCTATGAAAAAAAAATATCACTAAAAATAGAAAAAAATAATATAATTTTGCTAACATCATTTTATCGTAATTAATGACAAAAATTGAATTGATTAAAATCTTTTTTAAGCAAAATTGCCAATAATTGCTAAATAATTTTGCTCAAAAAAAAATATTAGATGTTTACAGTATGAATTAATGAAAACAGTAATTATTACAATGGCTTGTATTATAATTGTATGTTTCGTATTCATATCAAACTTGATTTCGACAATTGTCGCATCGTTTGCTATTTTTTCGATTTTCTATTGTTAGTTTATTTTGTATTAATTTTACTATTTTATTTATAGCGGATGTGAACGAATTTTGCACGGCAATTAATTAATTGCATATATTAATTAAGTGATATGCGAAATTTTTTGCAATGATGACAAATATTTATATAACAACAACTATAATGTAAAAATATAATCATATTCTCATAGATATGGAAATCTTTTTTTCTTTCGCCTATTGATAGAAGCAACTTGTTTTCGATCCTTACTGATCTGTATAACTTATCATGATTGTATGCTAGACTGACAACTTCAGGTTTGATGGGAATCTTAAGCTTACTTGGCTTTGATTTGGATCCAGTAACGATGAGTGTTGTAATAATTGCTATTGGATTCAGTGTTGATTTTACGGCTCATATATGCTATCATTTTTACCATTACGACAATTCGACAAATGTTTCCAATGAATGCATCGATCATAAGACGCGCAAACTTGCTGATGTATATTTTATCGTTGGTGAACCAACCGTTCAGGTTTATTAAAATTTCATATCATACAATTCAATCCATTTTCTGCTATTTAAAACAGTTTTTTCAAACCAAAAAAAAAAAAAAATAAACTGTATTAAGTAAAATGGATTTTAGAAAATTACACTAATATCTAACTTAAATAATTTCATCATCCTTTTCAAGATTACTAGAATTAATCGAATTTTGAATCTTTCCATTTTTTTTTTCAAATGTTTATAAAAACGAATGAATGAGTTAATATTATGATAATTTGTATGAAAGTATCGAAAGCATTTTTCTATCTATACTTATTAAATTTCTCTTGTTTTATTTTCATTCATTCATTTTATCACATTCTACTCTTTTGCTAATTAACCTTATTATTTTTATCGCATAAGTTATAACATAAAAGTTCATGCTTTTATTTACTATTCATTCATTTTATTATTTCCTAATTTATGTTTTCTTAAACTGGAACATACGTTTAATTTATTTTGCATTTCGATTTTTAATAATTTCATTTTTCAGTAATTAAATTTCTTATATATTGTTTTTCTCTTGTTAGGCTGCAATATCAACTATCATAAGTATGTTGCCAGTATTTGTGATATCCACCGAATCAATCCAATCATTTGCCAAAACGATAGTGACAGTCGTGCTATTAGGCACTTTTCATGGGATGATCATAGTACCTGCAATACTATCATTGCGCAATAGTAAAACGAATACAAGCAGCGGAATCATTACGACAAGAAGTGAAAATATTATTATGAAATCGTGATCTGAAGAAACGGCTGTGATATGAGCAACATTTGCTACTTATTTCAAAAATTATGTAAAAAAAAAAAAATTTAATTTTTTGTCCATTTTTTGTTTTTCACAAAATTATTGAATGAAATTTTTATTTGAGAATTTAAAAGAAAAAACGTGCTACTTTCTTCCTCATTTTTTTTTTTTAATTGTTATGAATTCTAATGAATTTGAGCTACTTTAATGTGTAAAATTTAAGAAAATTTGCACTCATTCATGAGACTAATTCACAAGATATCTGAAATTTCTTGCACCAAATACAGATTATACCTTTGAACTTTCATCTTCGTCGAACTAAATTCATGATGATCAGTGAGATTATTCTTCCTAGCCATGATAGTTTATCCAACCGAGCAACAAGAAATTCACCGCAGTTTAAAAGGTCAAATGATGGCTGCTGCATTCGTTTCAATGAACTGATTTATATGAGTGATAGATAAATTAGGAGAAAATATTGAGATAACTATGAAATATAGTTGTAACAAAGATTAAAAAAGAAGAAAACAATGAGAGGTACTATTTTTAGATCTTGTAATATTCTAGCAAAAATTGTTCGACAGACAGCAATGATCAGTAGGAATTACATAGGAAATGGCTAAAACAAAAAATTGAGAGCAAAAAA